GCAGCAATAAGTCACTGTAGGGTCTGGTGGGAGCCAGGGGACCCACAAACATTTGAAAAGGATGCTCTAGGTCACATAAAATGTCTCTTAGATGCTATTTGGTGGCTGGCACATTTATAAATCCCTTGTATGGTCCAAGGCAATGTTGAAATGTCTTTCGCAGTAAGAACAGGCAACTCCACAGCCCCCAGAAGTCTATGCAGTATCTTTAAATACATCTCTGCCTTGGCAATAGATGGAGGAGTCTGGAAAGCTTCTCCTCTGTGTCTGAGCTGAAATGAGTTGCAGGGTCTCCCTCTTGTTTCTAGATGGCAGGCAACTGTACCCCAAACTTGAAATCCTGAGATTTGCTGAGTGGCTACTAGTTTTGCTGGTCCTGCAGATGTCATCAGTTCCTACTGACTTCTACAGGTGATCACTGAGTTACTTGATTAACAAATCAAACAAACAAAAAGCACAGAAATTACATAGCAATTCAGCACAATGTGAAGTGTGCATGATTTCTTGTAGGGCATGACATTTTGCCAAGCCAAAGAGGAAAGGCTCGCTTGTCTGGATATTGAACACCACAAACGCCTCCTTCCTACCGCGCTCACATCCTGAACCTTCTCTTTTTTGTCTGCCCTCCAGCTACGACAATGAACCATTCTTTAACATCCCCATTGGAGGACGAATCCCTGACCTTGTGCAAATGCCAACTAATGAGAGTGAAGATGAGTGGAAATGGAATGACCATGAGCAGGGATTTTCTGCACTGAGACACCCAGGTACATCTTGGAGTCTGGAAATATTTGGTAGCTTCCCTCAATGCCAGCTCTTCCTTCTTTTCATCATGACTTAAATTCCTTCACTCTTCTCTAGCTCCAGTCCATCCCCAAACCCCATAACAATATGGTTATCATTACACCAGCAGTGTTACATACCAAATCAGGTTGTACTTGTACTGGATATCAATGATCATAAATAAGATCGGTGTGAACAATTTTTCATATTCCAAAACTGTATGATCATAATACTTGTGTGTTTACACAGCTCTTTTCTAACCATTCATTTGCTGTTCAGAGCTTTAAATGCTCTTTGTAGAAAGATCATATCAGCCATCACTGAAATACAGCCACCTCTCGGGTGGAAGGCAAGTGGTTTTAAGAATAAGGTATTCATAATGGCACAACAGCTCAGGCTTTTAATATTTATCATATTCTCAGTTTTGCTTGCCATGGGCAGGATGGTGCTTACTGGTGTCACTGACTTTGTAAGACCCTGCGGAGCTGTGCCACCTATTGCATACCTTGACTTTAAGAAAGTCTAGAGAAATATTACCTTAATCCTGGCAAGGAGCAGCATGTCGGAGTTGATGGAATGGCACAAGGATTTTGCTTATGATTGACATCTGGATCTGATTCTGGCAAATCTCTGTATTAGCATCAGTTTATTAACTATATAATAGACCCCATGAGCTCTACATTGTACCAGATAATATCGATCAGATTTCAGAACCATTATTGTATCATCTAACAAGAAACAGATTATCAAATAACTGAGCTCACTCTCAAACCTACTCTTTCTGTCTATCCAGATTATCGGAGTTACATAAATACAACTTTATAACTGAATATAATTTGCTTTCCTTTCCTCTTTCATGTCCTGGCCGTTCTCCAACCCTTTGTGTTCTGCGGTTCCCCTGCTAGAAAAGTGTGTATGCAAAGAGAGGGTGCTTGGAAGCGTCACTGATTTCTGCCAAATGAAATATGCCTACGGTAAGTGGGTGACATGCCCTCAAGGTATGACAATTTTACAGTGTATCTATGCAAGATCCTAGCTGATAGCTGTGAAAAAGGCCAGGACAGGCTAAATCATGAAATAAGAGGTAGGATTTCTTATGGCTTTTCGGTTTAGTAATATGTCCTACTTATGCACAGTGAATAACCTTTTTCATACCAGACTCCTTGGTGCCTGGTTAACCTCCCCACAGCTGCAGTGCTAGAATCATAGCCCAGTGGAATGGTTGGCCTCCAGGTTGGGAATACGTGATAAAAGCCTTGTGGCTTTGCAGTCGGTATGCAGGTACCAATGGCCAGACTTGTTTATCAAGAATGCCTTTCGTATTGTGTAGTGTAAACAAGGAGTTCGAGCCACGCAAAACAAAGGAAAACTAGGGGCTTCGCAGGTTTGATGGGCTTGTGTTGTGACACCATTAACCCTGCTTGCGGGGCCAATCTGCGGGTGAGACAATCCTGCCAGAAAATTATGGATTCCTATTAAATTGAAGAACAGAAATTCATTGTGGCAACCAGATGTTAGGCCCCAAGGTGGATCTGGTTTGCTGTGCAGCCACGGGACCTGAGCCACGTGATGTGCTGCAGTCTGAGAGGAACCTTCCTGACTTCCTTCCTGACAGTCCCTTCCCGCAGGATAGCTTTGAAAGACGAGTGCTAAAGCTACCTAAGTTCAATGGAAGTTTTCAAACCATCACAGAAAAGGGCTAGAATCAGTGCACTGAAAATCAGATTGTTTGCTGCCACCAGCTCTTTACAATCTTCCTAGTTAAACACAAGTGCTTTACCATGATTTCCAAGTGTTTGACCAAAGTTGATTAATAAATTGCCATGGTGAAAGGATCAGTTAACCACTTTGTCAGAAAAAAAAAACATTTTTTTCCCCAATTTGGTTGAAGTGAACCACGACTGAAGTGGGCAAGCATTGCAACTGCCTTCCTGTACAACCGCGGTGATTTTCCATGTTTTCTCCCAAGGCTGTAAATTCCTGAGGTTCTCATAATCTAACTTTTAGCAGCACAAAGAAAGAAAAGAAATCATCTCACTTAGAAATTCACTACTGTTCTGTATCTTTACATGTGTTTTCTGGCAGTGATAAAAGCAAGAATCCTATCAGCTCATGACAAAGGAACCCATGCAGAAGTTGTCGTGAAAGTGAAGAAGGTCCTGAAATCAGGCAAAGTAAAAATTGCTCGGAGCAACAGAAGCATTTACCCGGAATCCTGGACCAACAGGGGATGTACCTGTCCCATTCTCAATCCTGGTAAGGATGAAATTACAGCACGAAGTGTCTGAGGTTAGGTTCAGGCTGCTGCTGCTCGTCAGTCTCATCCTCCAAGTTGTTTAATTATGAGAATCTACCTCTGGCACTGGAGTGGAGGGAGGCTTTGCTGAAAGTCTGCTCCCCTGGCTCTGCTGCAGGCAAAACAGCAGGTCTGAGAACAGGCTGGGAGCCCCACTCTGCTGCTAAGTAACATTATCAGTAGCTGAGCAGATGCAGCCCCTGGTTCAGCCTTTCCCGCCATGCGAGTTAGGGGATTGCAGCGAGAATTACTTTTACTGTAAAGATGGAATCTCTTGGTAAGTCTCTAAATCCTGAAATTGTGAGCCTGGACTTCGCTCTTTCCAGTAATAATGGTCTAAGGGTCTAATTCTAATGGTCTTGGATTACTCACAGCTTCCCTTTGTGTCACCAGAAGTTCTAAGTCTTTGGGAATGTGTCTTGGGATCAAATCCCCATGAGATGTATTCCTGGGGATGGGTTTCATTATTAGATCCTGTACCAAGGAGAAGTGTGACTTGCTATCATCTGGATAGCAATTCTTGATAGAAAAGTCCCCCTGTGTTTTTACCTCTGAAAAGATTAAAACATATCCATGCTGAGTGAAAGGAATTCCCTCTACTTAAATGTAAGGTTTAACCTCTAAGACAAGTTCTCACCTGAAATCAGTCACACACATGAGAGAGCTGTTCTATGAAACCTGGGCCAAATCAAAACTTAATGGGAATTCTTCCTGTTATGATGAAGTGAACGGTACTGGCCCAGAAGTTGATTTGGTCTTCAGTTATCTACACCAAGTGAGAAACTGCATTTGAATTTGTATGGAAATAGCACATAGCCCTTAAGCTCTGTTTTAGGGGTGTTTCTCAAATTCGCACGTGAAGTTTTCTGCTTAAAGCAGTCCAATGAGCAAGGTGCTTGCTTTCACTGAGACTACACATAGGCAAATAAAGCTTCACTGGCACAGCTGTGCATAAAAAAGTATTTTCCAGTGTTCTCTGTGAAACTGTGGCATGAATCAGGCATGAAGAAAAGGTGCTTAAACAGGGTGAGAGCACATCTGATGCCACATAGCTATTTCAAGAGGGAAAAAGTCACAGGAGATTTTTCTCTGCTGTAGTTTCTGTCTCTGCTTTCCACCTCTTTAGCAGCGTAGGTCTGAAGACACATGGCTGAGAAATTCCAATGCTGGAGATGCAGGAGTTACGACACAGCTGCCTTTTAATAGGAAATTAAATGTAAGGACAGGTCCCAGCCACTGTAGTTCTGGGGACTGGCATGTACTGGCTGGCTGAACCCCTGCCACCCGGCGGGATCACTGACTCGTGCTGGGATCCTCCCTTTTTGTCTCCTGGATTTTACCCTTGCCCTTTCCCTCCCTGTGCATATGCATTAGCTGTTACCTCTCGGCATGTTTCTTGCATGAAGGAGGGCAGCAGCAGGGGAGGAAAGGATAAGCAGGAGGCATAAATGTCAGTGCAAACTGCCCCTGAGGTCAGCAGGGCTCTGCTGCGCAGGGTGACCTGGCACATTGCACAACTCTGCGCTGCACTGGGCTGGACTTTCTTCCCTGGCTCGGGACACAAAACCCAGTTTAATCTCACAGCCTTTAAAGTTAATCAAAAAGCCTTACTAATGGAGCTGTGACTGAATTTGCTGTATAGTTGAAGAAAAAAAGAAAAAAATCTCCCTGTCTCCCTGCTTTTCATGTTGTTATCAGCCAGAATAAACTACCAAGCTGCTTCCCAGGCTCCTCAAATGGAGGAGCATTCAAAGAAAAAAAAATAGAGAAGAAAGAAACCTTTTGGTCTTGCAGCCTAGTGCGCTTTCCTTCCCTACCCCTGCTGCATGCGTGGAGGGCGCTGCCCGGTTGCACATCTGGTTGCTTCTGCTGGAGAAAACAGACACTGAACGGGCAGGGAAGAGAGGCTGGGCTGCTGATCCTGCATCCACCAGCCTCGGCCCTCGGAAAGCGGCGGCTGCAGCTCAGCATCTCCATGAACGTATGAGCCCTGGGCTGGCATTTCAGTATCATCCATCCTTGGGGAGGGAAAGCACCCTGGGGTGATTCGGCCTCATGATTTCAACATAGCTGTATAAGGATTAAGGCCCCTCTGAGTGACAGTGTACTCAGCAAGATGCTAAATGACCAGGCACCCCTTCCCTGAAGGCTGTTCCTCTGATCCTGAAGGGATGGTTGGTGGTTCCATTTCCTGGACATGTCTGAACTGCTGTGAGAGGAGAGCGTGGATTGCTGTACCAGAAGGGCACACGTTAATCTGGCCCTTTAGGCTGCTCACCAGCCTCTGCTCAAGCACTTCAGTAATTGTGTTTATTTTGTTCCTCCCCAGAACACAGTGACTGACAATGTGGTCTTTCTGTTGCCGTAAGGTTCAGCGCTGAGGGGGCAGGATCTGTAACACATTTCCCCCCTTGTCTCTACTCCAAAAGTCTCGTTCCACAGATTGAACCCAAAGAATTGCTCTTTAGAAGTCAACTGGGTGGATATAAAAAGGCTGCCTGCCTTTCATCAGGATGGACGTGCAAGCTTCAGTGAAGGTCAAACGAACATGAATGCACACAAGAGAAATCTACGTGCAAGAGTAAAAACAAAACAACCAGAATTTTACCACAACAAGCAAAATTAAACAGAAAGCAGTGAAAGAGAAGACATCCAAGAAGAGAGATATAAATTCACCTATTCTGTATATACAACTTTAAAATATTCTTCCTCTCAAAACACAAAAGATCATAAACTGCCAGTCAAAAATGTAGCAGCACATACTGCATTTGTTCAATCTCATGTTTCCAAAATCAGAAAATATACATGTGGAATCTGCCTTCCACATATCTATTAAGATAACCCTAAGAAACCAAAATGCATACACGTAACTTGTCAACACCTCTATATTCTGATCAGTGATGGCATTTTACTTCCTGCAGTTGATGCACCACAGTCATTATTTATCTGCAGAGTCACTGTTTGCAGTGACGGCTGTTTTCCTGCAGTTGATGCACCACAGTCATTTATCTGCAGTCACTGCTTGCAGTGACGGCTGTCGCTTGCCTCCAGGTGTAGCTGTGCACGTCTTGGTTTGCAGCCCTCTCTTTGAGGTCCCTGTGCCTAAAGGTTATAATCTGGGCAGTCTGGCTGAGCAGTTTCAAATGCAATACCAGGTTCCACATGTGCTCACATCAAATTCTGCTATTCATCATATCTGTTCAAGTGAGTAGGAATGCTGTTGATGCCCACAGAGCTGCACTAAGTATAAAAAAAAAAGCAGGGAGGAGGGCAGGGAGATCAGAATGAAATCCAGTCACCTGTCCAGGGAGACACTGAATTTGCAATCAGTAACGCCCAGAACTAAAGCAATTTGGGCACTTGTGATTTCTGCACACCCCCCTGTGAAAACACCTAACCCAGGAGTCAGCACTGAGAACACACATGTGAAGGCAAATGCACATAAACCCTGTGTGCATAAACAGGACTATGAAAAACTTGAAAAAAACAGTTGAAATATGACTTGCAATGGATAAACTGTTTCATGCAATTTTCCATTGCTTTATGCAATGGATAAATTTAGCATTTATTCTTATTTTCTTCTTTGACTTTTCCTTTTCTTTTCTTTTTCTTTAAACTAGGTACTGATTATCTCATAGCAGGCCAGGAGGACTCTAGGACCAACAAACTCCTTGTGAATATGAACAGTTTGGTGAAACCTTGGAAAGCATATTTGGGAAAACAAGTGGCAGACATTCTTCGAACGGGATGCAAGTAATTTCTGCTTCAGAAGTTAAAGTGATGAACTTCCCCTTTTAATAACGCTGCAGTGAAAGGTCTAGTTAGTTCCTTCGTTCCTATTCAATGAGCTCCTAGCCGAAGCAATGCAAGCAGATTTACCATCCTTTCTCTTTCATGTGCCTAGACTGGAAACCTGAGACACAACTACTTATTTCAGAAAAAAAACACACACATACACACATAATCTTATGCAAAATTGCCTGTTGCATCATGCATAGCTTATAAGTCAATTCTTAATTTGAGCCTGATTCCATCACACCCAGAGAATCATTTTACAGGGCAAAACTGAAGATACGGACTAACGTTTCAACACTTCAGGAAAAAGCCTGATATTAACACATAGAAGCTGCTTACCTAGCGTATTCATTACTCGGGTGTAATTTTCTTTATTTAAGTCACCACTAACCAGCAGCAATTTCTGTGAGCTTTACAGATGCCATAATACTAAACAAGCATGACATTATTTAAAAGAGCTCAGATATTTTTATTTACCATCAAACTGCAATTAGTCCAGTAACTCCTTGCCTTCTAGAGGGCAAAACTAGCATTTTGCTGCACAGAGACTAACATGAGACTTAGCTCTGATGAGTCCTCTACAGGAGTACAGGGCTATCATAATTCTCAGTGCTGAGATCTGCTGGCTCAATGGCTCAATTTTGGTTTCAATCCCAACTCTTGCTCTCCAAGCTGGTTTTACTCTTTGCTGCAGTACTTTGGTCTGTAAAACCATGCAAAGGTTTCATAGCAATTACCACCAAAAAGCCTTGTGCTAGGAAAGACTCACCAAGACACAACGCGTGAGGAACTAGAGCTGCTCTAATGTCGAGGTTATGATACTACAAAGGCAAGAGAAAGAGGTGGCAAATGGATTGGTTGGACTGTGTATCAAAAGAGGTAACTACAATGACCTGGGAGCCACTTGGCTACCCAAACCATGCTCAAGACCACTGGCATTTGATTGCCCTTGGCACTTCAGCTTTACTGCTCTTGGCCACACTTCTGAGTTAGAATACCGCAGCTAGGCTGCCGCCTTCCTCTGCTCAAGGGTTTTTTTCCCCAGACAGGTCTCAGGGTGGTAACATGTGCTGCCCAGGTCCTGTTCTGCAAAACATTCTTCCCAACCTCGTTTTAGCCTAGTCTACAGTAATTAAGAGGTAGCTAGGGAAACGAAAACTTCCTCCAAACACTTTCTTAGGGAATGATTTAAGAGCTCTGCTCCTCTAACAGGGAACCGTGATCAAATGAAGCTGGGTATGTTCCTTCATTAAGTAAAGCATAAATTATAAAGGGTTGGCCTATTGTTTTGCAGATTACAGAGAAAAACCACACTCACATGCGACTTCTGTTCTGTGCCTGCATTCTTTTTTAATGCTCCCAAGGACGAAGGGAAGGAAGATCTTCCTCTAGCACTATATGACTGGCATATAGGGTCTGCAGAAAAACCTAAGCCTAATGCAAAAGCATAGAAGTCCCGGGTTACGAGGTGAAACTTGGTAAAATCATCAGTTTATTTTCTTTATCACTAGGGACCTGAAAAAAGAGCTTCTTTCAGTCTATCGGTTACTGTTTTCCATTTAACTTAGCGTTGATTGAACAACAGAAAACTCCTAAGGTCATTTGGAAGCGGAAGACAGGCAGATATTTACAAAATAAAAGTTTCACTTTTCTCCCAAGAGTGCATAAACAGTGGTTCTTCCCCCTCTTTGTCAGGAACTCTCCCCTCCTCCATTGCCATTACATTCCTTATTTCTTTCCATTTGTCTTGCACACACTTTATTATTTATTTGTTGTTACCTAAAGCAGTCTCCAACAATGTGGCATCTCCAGCAAGCCATTTAATTAATGTAATAAAACACTTCTTAACCAGGGAATTTGGCTTAATTTGAAATGTCAGCTTATAGAAATTAACAGCATAGCAACTGCTTGCTTTATTGGCTCCAGAAAGTGTTTCACAGCAAAGTGTCAAAGACCACAAAAAATAAAGATGTTGACAGGACTTCTCAGTGTGTGCTCAAAGGGTGCTTCAGAAGAAGCAAAAATCAAGACCAAGTTTAGAACTAAAGAGCACTTTTCAACACAGCATTTTGTCTGCTGAAGATTTTACTTACGATCACACTCCGTTTTGGTTAAATAGTACCTACATTAAGGCAAACTTGTGTATTGTCCATTATTTTCATGTGCCAGATGTTATTTTGTGGTGAGCATAAGCACCCATACCGGTCCTTTCTGCAGATGGTCACTGTTTGCTAGCAGGGTCATTCACAAGTATTTTCAGCTACCACTTGTAAAAATAGTACCTGTAACAAGAATTTTAATCCTCCAGTGAGTTCTCCTGGGGCCTGTTGCAATACAACTGGTTAATGACTACCGCGCTGCAAACACCACTGTGTGAACACAAGATACCATCCCTGCACCACACACTTCAGCTGTCTCCACAGGAGGTGACACACACGATAGTTTGAAAGACAAATGTAAAGCAAGCAGGGGAACGGAGGGCCAGGGAAAACACAGCCGATTTCTTCCCCCTCTTGCATCTCTCTGAATTCGATTTATTTGCTGGCATCTGCAAAGATATTTCTACTTCACGCCCTCCATTAGTTAGAAATGTTGCACATTTATGTTCCACCTGCTAGCTGTTGTTTAGTGGCTTTGCTTTATAGGGCAGCAGGTATTCCATAAGCATGCAGGTTCATCAGAAAGCACAAAACAAAAGACACTTAGGGTGAGCTAGTGCTGCAAAAGCTGACTTTTAAATTTCTATTACTACCTTCTGCTTAATCAGGTATCGCTAAGTTCACTAGACAAAAAGAAGAGGAAAAAAAAAACAAAACAAAACAAAGATTGGAGAAAAAAAAAAGGTCCAACTCGCACAGACCACCACACGCAATTAATTTGTTCTGCAGTGCTTTAACCCAGGTAGCCTACCTGAAAAGAAGTTTTCAAACAGAAATTAACTGCAGAGTTTGATTTAGAACAGGTATCAATCCAAGTAAGTTTAACATGATCACCGCCATGAGACTCGGGAAAGAAAATTAAAAGGTATTTGCTTGTTTACTGGGGCTTCAAGAGAAGATGAGCAAGAAACAGTGCAAGACAACATCCATCTTCCTAGCAATAGCTGTTACATATTCTTCAGAAGAACAAACAAGCTGATAAATAATGAATTCAAACAGCTACCATAGAAGTCATTTCTATCAAAAATGAATTGTTTTTAGGTCTATTTACAATACCATGTATCTTGTGAACCTCCCTGTGAATGTGTCTCCTAGGTGACGTAGTATTACAAAAAACATAAATTGGGGGGAAAAAAAGGTGCATTCACTCACTACTGAAATGGATGCACAGCTTGCTTTTTTTTTTTTCATACTTCTAAAGTAGTACCTATCCCTAAAGCATGCATGTGAGCTACCCTACAAGCCCCAGATAGACAAGGCACTTCAGGGGCAGTAGCAACCACATGCAAACAGTAGCACTGAACCCCCTGCATGAGGGTGAATTAAAAGTATATTCATAAGAAGTCTGGAAAGTTGCAGAAAATTTATCAGAGGGCAGGTAATAGGCTGAAGCAGAAGCATGTGTAGTTTTCCACAGAGAGCAGCACATACAGGGGTGCTGGGGGCTCGTGTGGCTCTGGAAGAGCCGTGCAGCTGGCAACAGGGCACCAAGGTAGCTCATTACGCAGTTGTTGCAAGCGCAGAGCCCCCACTCCTGCGTAGTGACACGTTGCTACTAATCCTCCTCCATCCTCTCTTCTTGGCAAGCGGCTACGAGGATAGAACATGTGTCTATGCCCAATCTCGTGCACTGCTCTTCTGGGCACGACTCACTAATATATAGAGCAAGTTCTCTGTAGCGTTACCATCTGTCCCCAAATTTTTCTATGCTGCTCGATGTAAACATTCTTTGAATCGATATAATTCAGACCATGTGCTCCCCAAAGCCCCTCACACCTGGCAAAGTTAGTGTGTTATTTGTTATGTGTTGTAGCACATTTTCCTTTTTGTACTTAAAACTTCCATTAAAAATACTTAAGAGATTTATACTGATGTGAGGTTTGGGATTTATTTTAAAAATTTCACACCATGTGATCCTCAAACCATATGCATATTAGCTCTTTTTAAGTTAATAAACCACAAATATTCCAGCTGTCAGGCTCTTGCTTCGATAGCCTTCGTGCAGAGCCAGGTAAATGGAGAAAAATGTTTAGCTAATAAGGCAATCATGATACAGGTTAGATTGAGCAACTTCTACAAATTATTCACTACCTTTTTGATAAAAATATGCATACATTGTATGAGACAATGCACATACTAGAAACACAAACCAGGTGCAGTTGATTTATATAAGCAGCATGTTAATTTAATAACTGATCAAGACTCAAACATGCAAAATCTTACGTAGGTATTGCAGATATGTCATTCCCATACAAAATACATAAGGTTCCAGTGGTTTGAGGTTTAATGAGGTCTAAAATTGCTCCTTGGCATATAGCTGTCTTGAGGGATGCAAGGCTTGAAAGTAGAAACATACGACAAGTAGGAGAGAGATGCCTGAACTGCAAATGCTCAGAGTTTGAATAGGTCAGAGTGTGTTCACATTGGTCCCCATGGTTTAAACAAAACAAAAAGAATATATTATAGAGACTTACCTTTGCTGCTCTGCATTATGGTTACATTATGCAACAGCTGTACCCCTAAGCCCTGGTCTTCCTCTGCACACATTATTAGCATGACAGATAGTGAAGACTTCAACCTGTAGTTTAGTGATGCCAAATATTTTGATCAATCACTTTAAATGCATAGGTCCACATCCTGGATCAAAATTCACTTCCAGAGGTTGTGCCAGCAAGTTCAGCTGGATCCAACCTAGTTCTTTAAATTCTTCATGCTGCAAGCAGAAAGAAACTTGGGCCAGAGAAGGAAACAAGGGCAGTACCTATAAGGAGAAAAGTGAGTGTCTGCAGGAAAGTGGGATGACAAGTATGAGAATACTGTTTGGGAGCATATGGGAAGGGGAAAGCACAGAAAGCCAAAAGGGTAAGAGGCGACAACACTCTAGTAATAGCAGGAAAAAGAAAAGTTAGAAATGACTGATGTGAAAATCAGGTATCTCACTGGTACAAAACTCCCTGTGAAGGGAATATGGGCATTCCTTGTGGATGCTTTCGTCATCTTAGAAAGCACAAGGAACTTGGCGCTTTCAGAAACAAACACATCAACAGGACTGGTCATCAGATCTGGTACAGCAAATCCTATGTCCACTTACCCATCAAATCATTGTTGCAGGATCCGGGTTAATCTGCAATGTGCAATCGCTACAAATCTTCCTGTGCTCTTTGTTTGGGCTACGACAGGGCCTTCATGAGCTGTCTGCTCACTGATATATCAAAACTGATCTGTAATGTGCCAGTGGTTTTTTTTTTTTTTTTTTGTACATTTCCTCTTGTTTTAGAGGCTGCCTCTGCATTCAAGCTCTTGCTGCTGACTATAGTTTACACTGAAAACATGGAATTCATAGATGGGGCTAGGGAGAGGGTAAGAGCAAAAAGGGGAGGGAGAATAAAAAGGCAAAGGCCAAGGACTCCTGAGCAAAGTTAAGTTAACAGCAGAAAGGAGAACCTGAGGGTTTGCCATTAGGTAGCCACATGTGTCCACTCTTGATACCGCTGGGAGAAACTTGTCACCTGGAGTTTATTTCCTGTGAATTGCAGAACATACAGAAGCAACAAACACTGCACTCCCCACCATGAGCAGGACAAAAGGTCCATCATTTAATGATTCCATTTAAATTAAAAAACGGTAGAAAATACAGCAGCATTCCAGGCATTTCAGTGCCGTGTACAGGCTACTTTCAGTGGATCTACATTCATGAAAAGGCTGTTCTAACTTGAACCACTGGATGAATGCACAGGGTACTCTAATCATAAGCCCTTCTGCTTCTGGCAGCGACGGGTGCAAAATCCAGGCAAGCTTTTACTAATGCTATTAACATTTTAATAGCAGTAGTCAGAACTTCTCAGAGTGTCTTAGTCAAAACAGCTCTGCATTATATTTACTGATACATCACCATTAACATTTGCCTCTACTGAAGGGTCTTTGAATCATTTATTGATCTTGACAGTATCAAGATACATTAACATTTGAGAGAAAGATGAGTTTTTCTCCTTCCATGCTCAGCTACATATGCACAAACCTGAATTCAAGCTAACTTACCCTATAGTTAGAATTGCTAATGACTCCATCTAAACTTTAATAAATGAATACAAATAATCAGCACTTTAGATTTTATAAGACAGACATAAACTAAAAGGCCCAAGCTTAAAGATCAATTATTTCAGACATTTTCTTCTTCCTATCTATGATTGCTTTTGCCCTGATGCATATAAAAGCACGTGATGGAAAACATGCATAAAATCATTAAAAAATAAGACCATGCAGGCAGCTCCTCAAAAGCATTTGAGCCTGCCACTTCCCCCAAAGATTCAGTAGCTCACTGCTGGCAGACAGAGAACCAGGAGAGTATTTATGAAGCAAATAAGAAACACATTAGAAAAACACAGCAATATGCTGCTGTAAGTTTTGTATCCAGATGCTAAGAAAGCAACTTCTTATTATCTGCTATTTCACAGGCTTGCCACATACAGTCAGGGAGTATTTTATCATCTTTATTACCTACTAAAATAACCACTGATTGACTGTAAGTTTAAAATGGGAGCGTACAAGAACAAAAGCAAAAAACATGTCAACAAAGCAAGGCTGGTAAACAAAACAAACACATTATCTATACACAGACAACTGCATGAGTTTACAAAGCAAAAGAAATGTATTTTTTCTTCTTTCACGTGGCCTTCAAAAAGTCTACTACTAGAGATGGAAATTTCTACATAAATACTTCTAAGGGATGCATAACAGTCAAGAGAGACAACTTGACCCTAAAATTGCATAATCAGATTCAGCTGCAGAGTCCAGAGCCCACACTGAATAGTCTTTCTAGTAGAGTTGGCAAAGTAGAAATACAAATTTATAATTGATCTGCCTTCTAACGTGTGATATTTCATGCAAGTGGCAGGAAGTGTTCCCTGAAAACCAAAACTAGAAGACATGTGGGAATAGATTCTGTATCTAAAGATGCAACTCCACATCATAGTCCTTAAAATTTTTAACAGTAAAACTCAGATAAACTGACACTGAAAAGCTTTAGTCCAATATACATGACTTCCACTTTTTTAAGGACTTTCCCAGAACATAAATGCATGCAAGCACTGATACAATTATTTTCCTTTCTTGAAAATCAGAAAGAAACTTACAAATGATCCACCATGCGCAAGGAGAAATAAATAACAAATGACATCTTTCATAAACATCTCTTTAGTGCTATGACTTCCTTTCTCAAAACTTCTCAAATGCATCAAGAAGGGATTTTCATGGTGGCATTTCCAGTGTAAGGTCCCTTGCATCCAATTTTTGTACAAGATCTGGCTTCTGACAGAAGCAACCCTTCCCTAAACAACATGTTAGATACACGCTGTAGGTTCCCTCCATAAGGAGAGGTTCGAGTTCCTTGCTACCCTATGACTAGAACTTTTGCACTTTACATTCAGTGCACAGGTGCTTCAAAATGCTACCGAGGATGAATCCAAAACCTGCAAAGCATCAAGGCAGCGTGGGAAAGGAAAGTGCAGCAGAGAAGAACAGGAGGCAAACAGTTCTCAGAACAGAGCACTCCTTCACTGACTGTTCTTGCTTTCTTACGAATAACGCATTGGATTTCCATTTGAAAAACCAAAAGCTCAGGTGCATGTGATTTTTTTTGTATTTGGTGCTCAGTGTTTATCTGATTGCCTAAGATTTCATTTTCATGGTCCAATTGCCTAAGCGCCAAGATTTATCACTGCTGCTTTTGTGCCCATTTACTCAGGTTAACTTGGCATTTGTCGTCTTGTGCGTGAAAGTGTCACCCTGAGAAGCTGTCACGCTTCATTTCTTTAAAATGCAAAGATCTGCGGAGAGTACCTGCTATCTCTCCCCTGAGGACCGAGTTATTGTCAGCCACTTAATTCCCTCTTCTCTTCCAATTTCCTTGAGGATCCAGCAGCTGTCCTGAAAGATGAAGAACTCAATAGACCTGAAATTTTAACAGAAATTTCTCCAAGATGTTCAGAAGCACTTCCACTAACATTGAAATAACTTAGTGGAACAAGACACCAAAGTGTTGTCCAGAAGTGATGTTGCTGAGTGCTCAAGACTCCTGCCCACAGAGAGAGGCAAGCATCCAAACACATTTACCAAGTTATACTGCTGCCACTGCAAACTCTCCTTACTCTGTTTTGCCGAGTTAAGCGACACATATGGTGGAAATCTCCAATGGTCACTTGCTGAAGCCACTGGTTCAACTGGTTTTGTAATGTAAGTCACATATCCCAGCAAAGTACAGGTTAGAAATACAACATCGCATTCCCTTATCCACAGGACTAACATACAGTGAACTGTTTTAAACTGTTTGTGTAATTCTAAAGTAATTCTCATAAACAGCTTTTTGGGACCTCCAAGTCTTTATACTGTTGGTTTATGATATAACCCACTGTAGTTACTGACAGCACATTTCTTGTGCCTCTAGGGTAGGGTAAAGAGAGAGAACAGGAAAGGAATAAAAAGGGACTTGCTGAAGCAACTGATCTTCACAACATAAATTAATTCACAGCCCAGTTACAGTGCAGAAGAATGTCATGGTCTTTCCAATCCAAGCAATGTTAGTGAAAACCCCCCAAAGAAAGAAGAGCTTTTAATGAAGGTAAAAAGTATATATATATATATTTTAATATGCGCTTAAGTCACAGTATCTGTTTTGAGATCACTACACCAGGTAACATTTTCATTTTAATCACAAAGCATTTTATAAGAGCCTGTCTATACATCGAAGAAGCAGGCACCAACTAAGAAAACTCAAAAACAGTGCTTTCAGAACGAAAAAACAAACAAGTGATCAGCATTCTTTCCATTCATATCAAAGTTGCACAACAGACTATTTTTTAAAATGTAAAGGTCCTCACAATCAGTTAACGAAATCAAAGAAGCCACACATTCCAACATTTTTGGCAGTCCTTACCTGGTGTCAGCAGTAAAACACAACCATAAATCTAAATAATGCCATGTTCAACATTCTGAATCATTCTAGCAAAAGGAAAAAGAATCTTTTAACTCTTTTTTTTTTCTCTCTTAGGATGAAATACATTAAGAGAGCAGCTACTGAACAGAACACATTGAAATGAAGACAGACCTGGCGCTCTAGTGGAAATTTTAGCTGAAAGTTGTGTATTTTATATATTTAAAGGTCTTTTTTCAAGTCTAAACACTAGCTGAGAACTTGAAAAAAAATGACAGTTGTTAAAAGCTTGGGCTGTGACCACATACAGGTTACACAGTACATACACATACTCTTTCTTTTTGCAGTATTTATTTGCAAGGCTGTAGCACTGAGATTCCTCCTCCTGCAATAAATTATTTGTTATGATTCAGTGTATAGAACGATGATGAAACATTTCTTGAGGACTCAAAAGATAGACACCTTGCAAAAGTCCACACCTGAAAATAAAAATAAGAACTGGAGACAACAGCCTCCTTGTGTCTTCATTAGCTAGATCCCTTCTCCTCTTTGGCTACGGAAGCTTCCATAGAATTAGCTTCTAAATCTTTGCTTGACTTCTCTTTCTCTTCTTCTTCATCCTCTTGAGGGTAAAGATCTGGGTATTTTTGCATGCACTCCTGCATCGCACGGAATTGGTCCACACAGTCTGATCCCTTTATTTCTTCCGTGCTATAGTGGAAACAAGAAAACGCGGACTTGAACTGTTCCCCACAGGGACCACTAGCCATTCCACCAAGACACGGGCAATTCCAATTGATATCTCCATTGGGCAATATCAATCCTGAACAAAGAAGAGAGAAGAAACGTTAAGTGCTCCTTTCAAAAACCAATTTCATCCCATGAAAGCTGCTACACTGCAGGTATAATCTGAAGTACCAGCATCACCTCTAGCTTCAAGTGTGCAAATTGCCTTCCATTTTCCAACTAAATTTCAAAGTGGAAATAACCATCAGCTGGCATCAAGTCAATCTGCTTGACAGACCTGTCAGAAGAGCATGAAAGCCTTAAAATGTTTTCAAGCAAGTCATGAGAAATTACCACCAGTATTAAGAACAGAACTTGTTCAAATCAAGCTGGATGGATGCTTTCTTCTTTTGTTTTCAAATGAATTTGCAAACACTAAATCACAGCTTTCCCTGCAAATTTGAACAGGAAAATCAGAATCACAAAACCAAAGCCATGGACCAGCTTACTTGCAAGACATGCACAGATCAACTCACATGCCACAGAACAGAAGGAAGAGTAAGCACACGCCAGCATGCTGGGTTCCACCACCAACACAAACAAAACCCCTCAGCTTTAGGTTATAAATGAAAATGAATTACAGTTTCTGCTCTGGAACAGAGAAATTAAATACTTGAATGGTGGAGGACAAGGTGGAGATTTAAGTTAGCAATATTCTTTGAGATATCAATTGATAGGCATGACAGATTTCAAGCAAGACAATTTCCTTGTAAGTTCTGGGAAACCTTTAAAACTGTCATGCATAGAAGTGCACTACAACAGAGTTGTTCACGTTGGCTTCCGGAGTCTTTGCTATGTTGCTTTAAGGAATCAACATACCTTCATTCTCCTTCTCTACTTCACATGAGCATACATGCTGTTATGTTTGTCAATAAAAAAATAACTGTGCCATGATCCAAGTTAATTTCTTCCCTACTTTGACAATTTTCTCCTCTCTTCTTTCTCTAGAGGTTAGCTTCCTAACTTCAAATCCAGGTTGAGCTCCTGAAGGAGCTGACGTGTGTGAAATTGATGTTTAAGTGCTTTTCTTTTAGAAGTGTGTATGCAATCTTTCTGGAAGCAGGTATGCAACTACCATTATCAGAGAAGAGTTGCATCAATTCTGATGTGAAGAGGAAATTATATTGACCAAGTGCAATTTTAAGTCACCTAAAATGCTTCCGCAGACTTCAGGAAGCCGAGCTATTGCCTTGTCCCATGGAATCATGAAGTTCTAGAGAGCCACTTCATTCTTGCTAGTACCTCACTGACCATAGGGCCACAAAACTACGAATTTTATGTATTTATTGAGCAACAGCAAACCAACCATTATATATTAAGAAGAACGAATGGAAAATTTCAATTTGTCTATCATTTGCTCTTAGTCAACCCAAATCAGTATGAAGTTACACTGCTGGTCCTTTCTCAGTGCTGACCAGTGCCTTTTACATTACCGCAACAGTCTCCTGCGCATGACTGTCTAAGTGCTATAACATTGTCATTTTTCATAGACTGAGCTTTATCCAACAGGATAATTTTGTAAAGTATCTGTGATAATCACTGCACTGAGCTAATACACCTACTACAATGTATCATGGCATCTCTGGCTGCCTGGAAGAGAAGCAAGAAAACGGATGCCTAGCACCAGGTTCTATTTTTTGCCAACAATGACATAAAGCAGAAAGAAGAAGAGATATTGGTCATGCAGTGTAGAAGAAATATGGTTTGCTTTGTAAACTAGATTTTGAAGTTCTATATTCCTCCCTACTGACATCAACCACTCATTTTAAACAATCATTTTTCTAATACTTCAAAAACAACAGAAGAGCAGCTTTGGATTATTCCTGGAGACACCACAGCAATAAAACCACTTGTCAAATAACCCTCTTAAAATAAAAATAGAAACTGTTCATTTTAAAACCAGAACTGCCTTTGGAGTATGCAAATTTAACAAAGTAGAAATTATCCTTTAAACAATAGATTCCTGAATACCATACAAACATTGATTTGTATTTATTTCATGACTTAAGTGGCATCAGTTTCTGATGCTATCAGCATAGAAACTACCTTTTAAAAAGCAAACAAATGAAGCAAACATTTCCTCACTGATAATTATAGCAGAATGCATACTTAAACAACTAGGTAAACAATTAAAATCAAAACACATCTCATTCATCATTCTCCATGAAGCACAGGAATGTAATACATGGGGTGCTTATTTTAAATTCTTTGAATTAAAACTTCTTTCAAATGCAGCCTGAACCTCACTGATTCAGTGAGTCACAATCTACTTGAATCTGCTCTCACGATAGAAATGCCAACATGTTTACATCGTAATAGATCAAGGTTTGGTTCAGCCATTAACTGCTGACCTCACACATCCTAATCTCTTGCAGCTCAGGGAATCTGTTAATATCATGGATGAAGACAGAACATCTGCTTTCACGTCAACACTTGTCTTTGTACTTGCTATAAATGAAGTCCCACTCTTATTCTGAAAAAAAACTTTTTTCCATGTTACAAGCCAAACATTCAAATAACAAGGTAAACTGCTTGTGAGATGACAGAAACATAGGAAACAGGATTAAAATGGACTGCATAAGGTATATGTGTATATATATATACGTATATATAAAGGCCTGCACACCTGACCATTAATTTTATCAACTTATTCCTTAAGAGGAGGAGAGAGTTTTTGCTTCACCAGTCCCCTCTAGAGGGCATTACAAAACTTTAACTCTAAAATAAGACAAACAGAACAATTCTGGAGAAACAGAAAAGAGACAGGACAGCAACAGTCTGTTTGGGAGCTTTATAAGCACTTTCAATCAAACTTCTTACCACGCCTGTCATGATAATAAACATTAGTTTTCAGCATAAAACTCACCAGCATCCTTTTCATAGAGGTAAACTAAAATAAGAAATCATTCTATACCACTAGAGCAAAGATCTCAATGTGAACTAGAGATCTTCCATGTTGAAGTTTCTTGTTTACAATAAATAAGACTGAAAAAGATCAATAGAATTAGGGTGAATTATGCCACAGAAGTTGAACACTGGAAACCAAATCTTCCATTCAAAGCAGAAGCTAAATTAGAAAAGTCTGCATGTTAACTTATGTAAACCAAAGTCTTTTCCAATTTTCTTTTAAATAAAAACCATACACGAGGCAGAGCTTCTGCACTACAACATATCCCAAAATGCTGTGCCCATGTCTTTTCTGCCCACAAACTTCTCTCCCATTAGATGCAGTTACACTCTGTGCAGTATGTGAAATGTTTCTCTGTTGCATTGTAGCCTGAGACAGCTCAAGTGAGAAGTTTAGAGAGCCCTTAAAACGTGGCAATAACTTACCACATGCTAAGAATAAACTAAAGAATAAATATTTAGGCACACACAAAAAGTCTCTGAATCATATAGATACACATTTTCATCATAAGATTTTCCTGACATGACTAGTTTCTGGCTCTTTCCTCCTTTCTATCCTGAAGTATAGGAAACAGGTGAGCCTATTCTTCTCAATAACCTCTCCATACCTAATAAAATACACAGAGGTAACACTGGATATATCATTTAAACAAGGAGGAAGTGGAAACGTGGCAATAACTTACCCCATGATAAGAATAAACTAAAGAATAAATATTTAGGCACACACAAAAAGTCTCTGAATCATGTAGATACACATTTTTATCATAAGATTTCCCTGACATGACTAGTTTCTGGCTTTTTCCTCCTTTCTACCCTGAAGTATAGGAAACGGGTGAGCCTATTATTCTCAATAACCTCCGGATACCTAATAAAATACACAGAGGTAACACTGGATACATCATTTAAACAAGGAGTAAGTGGCTTCTTTAATTTTGGCTAGTTTGTTAGAGGATAAATACTCGCTACATATGTACAATCTGAAAGAGAATAGCTAACAGCAGAGAGGAAGAAAGAAGAAAAATAAACTTCTCTTTAGACATCCAAGGAGAATTGTATCCTACGTTGTCCAGCAACACATTCTGCCCCAAAAATATGATAATGAAATTCCTGACAGATACTAAACTTCAGATTCTAAACATATTTCTGGAATATGGGGAAGATGGGGAAGAATATCTGGGGAAGAACTGAGAAAAAGAGCTGCTTCTCATGTCAAGAAGGGTATCAGGTTAATCTCAATCACACCAACCCTGCTGTGTGTGTATATATAATTTGTCAGTAAAAAAACAAAACAAAAGGCTTTAATTGTGTGTTTCACTGAGGCCAATTTAAAGCTGAAAGAATTAATCTTCTTTTTTTCTGCAATTGGTTTTCACAAAAATATCCATAAACTGCTTTGTGAACCTCTTCCCCAAAGTGATTCTGCCTTGGATAGGTGAAGAGTGATTCCACATTTACAAGGAACTTGGGTTGGACAAACTTTCACACATTTTAAACTAAGCTAAGTGTTCTTTCTAGGAAATGAGTATTGCATCTTAATCAGGCAATGCTTCACAAAACACTTATCAGGCCGTGAACAAATCAGAGAAGGAATTTTGGATTCGGAGCATTTCTGACAATAATGTCTAATTCTTGAAAAGGCAGGTTTGATATTGACTTGAGCATACCACAGCAAATCTGTTGTTATACTTGCAATAAGCTTATTCATTCAAGTAATGATCTAAAACAACCAAGTTTCTACATTCTCTCCTCATTATTTTCATCTGTGTCTATAAAACGCGAACAGACTCATTACTGTCTAGAGAGTAAAATGTTCAAATGTAACTGCTGACTGTGCATACAGTTTTAATGGAGCACTGAAGCCGAGGCAAGCAGATAAATGCAAAATCATTTTAACACAAATCTATGTATGAAACCAAAAAAATCTATGTATGAAACCAAAAAGTTATTTTAATGACAAAGAGATATGATTCAAATGCTTCACTTTAGCCAACAAAACACCCGTGTGCTCCAGCGGCAATACTGTGCATAAACACTGCCCTCTAACGGTCACAGAGCGACTTGCAAAGCTTTTCCTTTTTTAAATAAATAAATAAATAACAGTAAAGTTTTTTTAAAAAAAAAGATTTTAAAAAAAGATTCCAAAACAGTAAAGGGTTTATTTCTACCTCAGCTGAGTTGAAAGCAACAAGATCACAGAAAGACAGCAGAAACTAAAGTCAAGTTAGGCAGCTGCATGGAGTGACCCAGTTCTTCTGAACTGCTCATTATTCATAGCCACATTTGATCCCAAGTTACAACACAACATGATTTTGAAGCGAGATTCTTCAATGAAAGCTACTTACTTAACTTAAATGAATATTCTCTTTAGTTTGCTCTTTAAAATAAGAGGCCATGAAGCATAAAAGCAATTCTGTACTTTTTAACCCAAATTCACAGACGTTCCTGACAATTTATTAACCTAGGGGAAAATTTACTTATCCCCAAGACAGGAAGATATTTAATTTACTCATAAAAAAAACTTAAAATATGATCTCAAAAAATCATCTTGTAAACAGAATTTTACAAGTCTTGATCTCAGAAATATTCTGATTGCTTAAACCTCCTTAATTAGGTGATTTTCACATTAGATACACTTAGGGTCAGAACTGTAATCTTCACTGAAAACTTGAACTCTCCTCTTTTTTAAGACAAGACAGTTGTAGATGACAAATGAGTATTATAAAGCTGTCTGTAATGTGACATTAAAAGATTTTTGTACTAGTTATTAATTATATTACTACTGGCATACTAAAAGATTAGTCATATACATATAATTTTTATTAAAAGGATATTTGCAGAGGACTTTCTTTCTGCACATACAAAGGTGAGCAACATCGCAATGACTGGTGTGCATCTTCACTGTTTCTATGAAAATTGTACTTCTTTATCCAAAGCCATCAGAAGCTAACTGGAATTTTTGCTGGTTAAACTCTGATTACAATAATGCAAGAACAGAAAGAAAAGCTTTTTCTGACTGTCTTTCACTGCTAACTGAAACTATACAGCAATTGATGCATTTGAGTAGACCATACTGAAAGATGAATAAAAACTTAGAGGAAAAAAAAATACTATGGGAAATATGATATCTGTGAGGTCCCATTTTGGAAATTAAAACTGGTAAGATCTTTGGTGTTTATTTAGTGAATAACCAGCAGCCCTATTATCTTACTTTTTAAAAAGAATGAAGAATTTCTTCCTGCTTCCTACAAGGTTTGGCTTTTGTTGCTGTAGAAGACTACTGGAATATCATATATTGTGATGCAACACTCCCTATTCCACTTTTCTGCTTGCTACTGACCTTGTTCTTCGTAAGGGTCATCTGGGTCGTCTGCAACCAGCTCAGCACTGCTTGGTGTCTCATGGTCCTCTTTGGTCGCAAATATAATTCTGTCTTTTCCTGTCATTAAAAAGAAAACAAGCAAAAGTTCAGAGAAAGTCAAGTCATTTGCAGGATAATTCTGTCTTTTCCTGTCATTAAAAAAAACAAGCAAAAATTCAGAGAAAGACAAGTCATTTGCAGAAAAAAAAGCCTTTTACAAAGCTGCTGAACACCATGTGTTAATAGTTAATGAACTCTATTTAACTTATCAGTCACCTTTAACTAGACCAGTTGCTGGTTCACAAGATTCCATACAGGATGGGAATTTGGTAAGTATTGAAAGGAATGTTACTAAGATTTGCAAGAGATTTGAAAATCAGACCTATGAAAAATAAATAAATAAATAAAATATCAGGTGCTAATTAATCTACAAGGAAAGTTACAACAGGAAGAGAAATGGATCCTGTCCTCTTTGCACTGCTCACGTGCCTGTAGGAAGTTATTCTCATTAGCCAATGGAAGCAGAAAAAAAGTCATAACTCAGTAAAGTGATTTATGATCAGTGGTTCAGTTAGGCAGTAAAACTAGATGTCTAGGGAGATAGGGACAAGCTTTCACTAAAAGGATGCAAGATAAAACAAGTACTCATTTCACTGGGAGGCCAGAAATGGCTACCAGCACTCACAGTGGTAGGCAGCAGGAGTGGGACTGCACACTACTTTTGAGTTGTGGTGGCATTTGAGACACTTCATAGAAATTTAAAACCCTCCTGACCTAATGAAGACAGCACAGTGGAGCCAACTCAGTGCAGGGCTAGGAGATGGGAACAAGCTGCCCTAAATAAGATTTCTCAGGCAATGGTAACTAAACAATCACCAAAGGCACGGAAGAAACATGAAAGTAGCAGCCTCACTCTTGTTACACAGAAAAAGGTAAAAGAGAAGATAAAATAGTTTGGAAAACGTTATTTTAAAGCACTCATTTAAATAGTCTTAGAATATATTAGAATAGGTCAACCATTCATTTGGTAAAAATATATCTGCTAACTGAAATTCTATTGCTCTAAAGTTTCAGTTTTCACAGCAATACCCTATAATAGCTGTACATCATAGAAGAGACCAATGAACAGCAAAACTAAGAAGTTGTTTCGAAACAAGCTTGAACAACTGTTCTCTTACATGGGCTAATCCAGATCAAGAGGTTAGGCAAAAAAAGGAGTAGCAAAAGTAAAACTTAGGAATTGTAGGAAAGTGTTTGGTATGATATTAATAAAGAGTAATAGTCTGCCTTAAGAACAGTGCAATATTTTATAACAGTGATCCAGATTAAAGACCACAGTGCCTAACAGCACAGCATAAACTGTTTGTAAAGGTATTGTGAATTGTCATCAAGGACAGAAAAATAGCCGTTTCCTGCTCTTGCACTATCCTTTATTTAACCAAAGTAACCAAGAACTTCTGCAGAAGAAAAAAAAATAGCTGGAAGCCAAGGTAGAGTTTTCCAACAACCCCATAAGTCCACCAAAAAATCTAACGACAGGCACAGGGAAAAAAAAAAAAAAAAAAAAAGACACACAACCAGAAAAGACCGTCTAGTCCAAACTCCTCTAAAATGCACAAATAATTAATCATTGAGTAGAATGAAAATAGCAAGTTCCCCAAGAGGAGGGCCTTATTTTCCAAATTCTGAAAGGCTACTGCAGTAACACGGCATATGAGAGGGGAGGATCTTCTTGCCTGGATTTCTGCCGGCTTTACGTTTTACAGTGAGTCATTTTACATGGATCAAAGGTGGGAAAGGAAAAGGCTTCCCCGGGGCGCGCAGCGGCCGCGGC